AACCAGGCGTTTGACGCTGTCTTGTCAACAATTGGATTAATCAGATCCCGACGATGTCTTCCATGAAGCGATTTTGCTAGCCATACTTCTAACTTTTCTTGAGGTTGTGTCACAAGTTCATTTGGTTGTGTCGAAGGATCACTAAGATTTAATGGTGTTAATTTGCAATCTAATTCTGTAATTATTTTATGAAGTGGTGAATGTTGTGAACGAGTGTGGAAAAATGATCTGAGTGAATGTATCTGCTTATTATGAAGATTTTTAATATCTATTATTCCTCTTCCTCCTTCACATTTAGGTAGAGTGAGTCTTTGTATGCACGAGCGAGGATGGTGTTTCCTGTACTTTGTCATGAGTGTGTTGATAGTGCGCTGATGTTTGTGTAAATCTGTTTTCGACCACTTAATAATTCCAAAAGAGTAAGTTAGTATAGGGACTGCATATGTATTAATAGCTTTTATGATGTTGAGATAGTTTAAATGCGTGTTTAAAATTTTGTGTAATCTTATCTTAAATTTTTCACATATCTGTAATTTAGTTTGTTTTTGATGTATTTGTTGGGTCTGTTGATATCCTAAATATTTATAACCATTTTCATCATCTACTGGATCAATAAGTTCTCCTGTCCGTAACTGGTAATTATTGTGTTCTATATGTCCACCTCGTACTGATTGTACCCTACATTTATCTATACCGAATCTCATTTGAATGTCAGTGGAAAACATTTCTGTAATATCTGTAAGTATTTTTAAGTTTATATGACTAGATGCGTAAAGTTTTATGTCGTCCATGTACATAAGATGTGATAGAGTATATTGGGTGTCTTTATGCGTGATTTTATATCCTTTGCCACTCTTATTTAACATTAGTGATAAGGGATTTAGAGAAAGGCAAAACCAGAGGGGACTAAGCGAATCTCCCTGAAATATCCCTCTGCGTATATGTATTGGTTCTGTTTCAATTGAGTTTATTAGATTAGTGATTTTTAATTGGGTAGTCCAGTTTTGCATATTATTTTTTAAAAAAATTATAATAATTGGGTGTATTTTATGTATTTCTAAGGTTTGGATAAGCCATGTATGTGGGACTGAATCGAAAGCCTTCTGATAATCAATATACATAGTATATATATTTCTTTTCTTCTTGATTGCCTGTTTTGATATTACGGAATCAATTATAAGTTGCTCTTTACAGCCCTGACTATTGCGGCGACATCCTTTTTGCTGTTCAACTATTATATTATTGCTATCAATATGTTTGTAAATTTGTTCTGTGATACAAGATGTTATGATTTTATATATGGTCTGTAAACAAGTGATTGGTCTATATTTACCTGGGTTACGTTTATCGGTGTGATCTTTAGGAAGCATGTATGTAATACCTTGTGTGACGAACAAAGGCAGCGTGTTTGGTGATTTTATAAAGTTATTTATGTGAAATAGTAGATATGTATGAATAGAAGTTAATTTTTTGTACCAATAATTGTGTATTCGATCAGTTCCAGTAGCTTTCCAGTTATGAGTTTTTGTAATAACATATTTTAATAGATCTATACTTACTTCTTCAAATTTCATTTCAGTTACATGTTCATGTAAATATTGTGTTTGCTCATCAACCCATTGGCTTTTCGTATGTTCAACCGGATTAGACCATATAGATGACCAATACTTATGTAAATCTTCTGGGGTAGGCGAATCAGCTGTGTTTAGATTATGTTGAGTATTATCGTTAGGATTTTTCTGTGATAAATTTCTATAGAATGTTTTTTCATTGGATTTAAATTTCTTATTTTGCGATTTTCTTAAGGCGGTTTGTTTGTATCTACGTAAACGGCTTGCTAGAGCACTAAGTTTTTGTTTAAGTGTATCTAAAAATTCTGTGAGTGTAGAGTTTTCTATTTCATGGCGTGTGTGTATTTTATAATTCGACTTTATTTTATTGATATGTTTTTTAAGTATTTCACTACGATTACCTTGAATATAATCAGTGAGTCGGCCAATTTTTACTCTTAAATCATTTATTCTATTTTCTAATCGCTGTTGCCATTTCGGAGTATTTTGAGTTGATGTTTTTCTTTCCTTGGAATATGAGATTTTGGACCCATTAAATAAAGAAGCTGTCACTGCTGCGCAGTATATTTGAGTGTGTAGTGTTTGAAAATCATTATTATAATTAATATGTTTCGGTAATATTATAGAATTTATATATTCAACTATTGCCGTAAATTTTTTGGTACATTTTTGTTTTGGAATATAAGGTCTCTCAGTGCAAGGTGTATTTATAAATTCTGTGTAAGTATTAGAGAAAATAGAATTTAATAGAGTTTTATCTTCTTCCGAAAGTTTATATTTTACGTTGTTTGGCCCAGTGTCGCTGAATGTTATGTCATCATTTATGATATTTGTATCATTAATCGTTAAGGATTGCGCCGATTCAGCAGTATTTAATGCTATGGTTGTATCTTCAGCTGCCGAAAGCATGATCGGTTCAGTAAAATTTTGAGTTTCTATTGTTGTACTATTGTTATCATTAATTATAAGCGCTATCTCATTTTTTATTTCTTCAAGCCTTTCTAAATTAATCAATTTATTTTATACTATAACGTTTCGCTGGTCAGCTATTCTTTGGACTGAAACATCGGCTAAGTCTGGGAATATTTCTATAACTTCCTGGTGAAGTAGTGTTCTATATCCGGTCATATTTTTTTCGAGTTTAGTTATCCTATAGTAGCATTTCATTATTGTTTCATTAATATTATCTGTCCATCTCCTTCGTTGATTTTGTGTTTGAGAAGAATCTATTTGAATGGGTATGTCTAAATGATTTTGATTTCGAAGAAGTTTTTGGACTTCATCTCTAATTTCTTGTATTTTAGTGGTACTCAGTAGATTGTTTCTCATAATTGCTCTACGTTGGTCACCTACTCTTTGTTTGGAAGCTTGCATATGAGGAAATTGTTCAGTAAATTTTTCGTGTAATGGTGTAAGGTATGTATTTAATTCCGTTTCTAATAATGTGAGGATGAAATATGTGCGTACGATGAATATGTTCATTTCTATCGACCATTTCTTTCGCGTACGAGGAACTACCTTGGCGGGTGCAGGTATATCAGCCATATTAGCTATCTGCACAACGTCTTCGGTAGGATGAGGTGATCTGCAAGATGATGATGATGAAGGTGATAATTGAAGAATGGAAGATGATGAAGATTGAAAGAGTGATGATGATGGAGATGATTGTCCGGCTGTAACATATTCTTCGACAGGAGTCCGCCTGTTCAACTCCTCGTCGCCGATGGTTCGCATACTGAGACACCCAGCACCGGCTCCAGGTGCGCCACGGCGACCCCCGGGCAGCGGCCGTAAATTATAAACTCTTTTTTCCATTGTAATATCATGTAAAAGGGTTGGGAATTATTGGTTAGAAAGAGTCAGCCTAGGTGTTATTGGCATTTATAGTATCTATTTATAAAATAGATAGAGACCAGATATTGTGGTCTAAGGATGTAGTTCCTTCTTTCTGTAAGCCCCCCCACCGCGACAAGGTCAATTCCCTTGGGGGGGTTATTATTATTATTATTAGATATTATTACTTCATGTATATCAATTTACACAACGATGATCGATTATATATATATTGTTTTTTTTTTGGTTTGGGTTAGGTTTGGCGAAAAATAATCCAATGAGTTATTAGATATTATTACTTCATGTATATCAATTTACACAACGACGATCGATTATATATATATTGTTTTTTTTTTGGTTTGGGTTAGGTTTGGCGAAAAATATTCCAATGAGATATTAGATATTATTACTTCATGTATATCAATTTACACAACGACGATCGATTATATATATATTGTTTTTTTTTTTTTGGTTTGGGTTAGGTTTGGCGAAAAATATTCCAATGAGTTATTAGATATTATTACTTCATGTATATCAATTTACACAACGACGATCGATTATATATATATTGTTTTTTTTTGGTTTGGGTTAGGTTTGGCGAAAAATATTCCAATGAGTTATTAGATATTATTACATCATGTATATCAATTTACACAACGACGATCGATTATATATATATTGTTTTTTTTTGGTTTGTGTTAGGTTTGCTGAAAAATAATCCAATGAGTTATTAGATATTATTACTTCATGTATATCAATTTACACAACGACGATCGATTATATATATATTGTTTTTTTTTGGTTTGGGTTAGGTTTGGCGAAAAATATTCCAATGAGTTATTACATATTATTACTTCATGTATATCAATTTACACAACGACGATCGATTATATATATATTGTTTTTTTTTTTTGGTTTGGGTTAGGTTTGGCGAAAAATATTCCAATGAGTTATTAGATATTATTACTTCATGTATATCAATTTACACAACGACGATCGATTATATATATATTGTTTTTTTTTTGGTTTGGGTTAGGTTTGGCGAAAAATATTCCAATGAGTTATTAGATATTATTACATCATGTATATCAATTTACACAACGACGATCGATTATATATATATTGTTTTTTTTTTTTTGGTTTGGGTTAGGTTTGGCGAAAAATATTCCAATGAGTTATTAGATATTATTACTTCATGTATATCAATTTACACAACGACGATCGATTATATATTTTTAGGAACCAGAAGTGGAATAGGTTTTAAAATTTATAAAAGTAATAAATTAAATGAAGGTAATTAAAAACTACAGTTTTACAGTTTAATGATTATTTTATTTGGAATTAATTCTTTAACTTAAAACAACATTAACGATCTAAAATTATAACTTTTAAAGAGAGCCAGCTTAGAAAAATAACAAACACAATACTAGTATCAATAAATCACAAAAATTAACAGAAATAATAACTATCAAGAAACAATCTCACCGGTTCAGAAGTCTCGAGCAAAATGCCTAACTTACTTGATACAAAGGTTTATATACTTGACTTGATGAGGGTGTTTTGAAAAAAAAAATATATCGCGTTCCGTTTTTCCTAACACGGCCTTCCTGAGGTGGCGCCGTCCTCGTGCGCATCTTTGGCAGCATGTGAAGGACCTGCTTCTTGGTCAAGATCATCACCACACTCTGAAAAAGAAACATGCTTTATAAGTCCTCTTTTAACAAGTTAAATGAGTCGTATTGACCACTCTCATAATGCACACTTTCAAGGCCCTTGCTCATTATTCACTTACATACGTAAAAAAATATGACATTCAAGTTTCATAATTCACACAACCATACATCATCAATTCCATATAGCAAACACAATACAAGTAACACATATTTCTAGCGTAGTTTTACAAAAATTAAGCACAACAGTCATAGTCCATTACGCTTAACTGTATGGCTTCATGAGATAGAGGCCTCCATTACGCATATCTCTCATTCATACATTTGCTAGTAACATTAGTACACACCCTCGAAAAAGGCTGCACAAGTATCGGGGCACCATTCTCCTTTCCAAGGCACCATGTATTGTGCCGCTGCTTGGGTGGTTTTCCCATAAGCACCACTCAATAGTGTCAATGCGTATCGCCCGCTGGGTAAAACCTTTGTGACACGATATGGCCCTCGCATGCCAGGGTCAAGTTTACCAGTTGACTGCGTAAACTTAGTAACGAAGACAAAATCATCCACCTTAAAGTCTCTGGGTGGTCTTCTTAGCTGGTTAGCGTAGCAATCTTGATACCTCTGGTTGTTGCTCAGCAATTCACATGCTCTGGTACGACTTAGTTCGCGCCAAGCTTCGCGATTGGGCTTAGTACCTTCTACTGCTACATCACGCACCAACGACCGTATTATAGGAGTTGTAGCAGCAATCCCTGTCAACAAATTTAGCGCAGACGTTTGCGTAGTTTTTTTGTTTAGTAATATTTAAAACCAGCTGCAGCTTCCAAAGCGTTTCTGACCATGAAGATTTTTTATGGCGAGTTTCTATGCGAATCATGTTGAGCACAGTGCGAACATAGCGTTCCACCTGGCCGTTAGCATGGTGCATTTCAGGCGTAATATAATGCACTTCCATGGACAACTCTTTTGTAAGTCTCATGAATTCGGCTGACTCGAACATTCGACCTTTATCGCAAACGAGTAATTTGGGTGCCCCAAAGAGAGAGACCGTGTTAAGAAAAATTCTTTTAAGCTCACTAACATCTTGTCTATATATCGCATATAACAAACAAAGTTTTGTAAAGGAATCTACAATTATTATTACAAACTTATAGTCATTTGACTGCGGCAAGGGTCCTAATACATCGACATGTAATGTATGAAAAGGGGTATCAGGTTTTTCCCACGAAGTAATATATTGCAAGGGAGCTCTAGATGCCCTTTTGCTGGTTATGCAAATCAAACAATGCGCTATATACTTCCGAACAAACTGTCGTAAGCTAGGGAACCAGAAATGCTTTAAAATCAAGTCTATAGTCTTTTCGGCATCGATATGGTCATGTTCATCGTGAAAAATCCTCAAGAGACTAAGTCGATGCCCTTTTGGAATATAGCATAGCAATCTAATCTCCTCTCCCACGACAGAATATCGGTAATAGAGCACATCGTTTTGATTTACGTAGCGCCCCATGTCTAAATGACCTTCACTTAACTTTTGCATTAGCTGTTGAGTTTCACTGTCAGCAGCTTGTGCAATTTGAGCCCAGTTCCTTGGTTTTTGAATATGATTAACTTGCGCTACTGGTGGGTTGCGACTCAAATAATCAGCACGAGACATCATGATGCCTTTCCTGTATTCTATTGTAAAGGTGAAGTCTTGCATGTAAACCCACCAGCGTGCAACACGTGGGAGAAGGTCCTTCTTACGTTCGGTCGATTTTAAAGCATTGCAATCTGTGACAATTTTAAAATTCAAACCAATCAAATAATGGCGAAAATGTTGCAATGCTTTTACAACCGCTAAGGTCTCCAATTCGTAAGAATGGTATCTGCTCTCAGCGCCTTGTGTTAATTTACTAAAATAGGCGACTACTTTCTTTTTGCCATCTATATGGGTCTGCATCAGGACAGCCCCATAACCTATGCTACTCGCGTCAGTATGCAGTTCGGTTGCTAAGCTGGGATTAAAGATAGTAAGAATTGGTTCACTGGTTAATGCTTTAATTATCTCTAGCCGAACCCTTTCCTGTTCACTTCCCCATTCAAATTTAACATCTTTTTTTGTTAAGCGAGCTATACATGCGGTTTTTGACGCATAATCCTTAATGTAACGTCTAAAGTACCCGGCCAACCCCAAAAATTGTCGGACCTGACGAACATTTTCTGGCACCGGAGCATTAATGAGTGCACTTATTTTACGAGGGCTCGGCTTTACCTGACCACGAATAACTACTCGTCGTAAATATTCGATTTCTTCCGTAAGAAAAGAACACTTGCGAAGATTGATTGAAAAACCGGCGTTAGTTAAGGTCATCAACACTTCACGCAACAATCTTATACCTTCTTCGATAGAAGAACTGAGTAATAATACATCATCAACATAAACAATTACTTCACCTGCATCGATAAATTTGCGTAAAGTATTGTTGATTATCCTTTGATAAACGACTGGAGAATTAGTTAGTCCAAATGGCATCTTCATATATTCATAATGGCCCTCAGGGGTCACAAAGCCTGTTTTATGAATAGATGAATCGTCCAAGGGAATCTGGTGAAATCCGGTAGCCATATCAAGACTGCTAAAAAATCTACAACTTCCTAACCTATCAATACAGTCGTCTATCAAAGGCATTGGATACCTATCCTTAACCGTTACTCTATTTAGGGCTCGGAAATCAACGCACATTCGATCCGACCCATCTTTTTTTTTAACGAGGATAATAGGACTCGAATATGATGATTCCGATTCTCTGATAATTCCCTTGTCTAACAAATCGCGTATTATCTCACGCACCTTTAATTTTTCCCGATAAGACAATTTATAGGGATGGTAAACGATTGGAGTGTCGTCAGTGAGGCGGATATGCATAGTTCCCGTTTTAACAGTGGAGGTAGCAGTACCGGAAATAAAATGATCAGAAAACTCGTTAATTACTTTTTTCAATATCTCTAATTTTTCTCCTACTAAGGGTGTGCTAAATTCGGTATGTGTATTCGCTTTTACTACAGAACATATTTTTGAACAAGTAGAAGAATGTGTTAAATATTGTTGATCTTTAGTCCTCACAAAGACAATACCGTCCCTATTTAACACATCAGTGCCAATTATTATAGATGCGGTCATGTACGAAGATGGGATAACTAAAAGGTCTACTTCAACAGTAATATTACGAAACTCTATATTAAGTGTGACATATTGCTTAATAATTATTTCTCGATCACTAATGCCTTTAATTGCCACATGAGTAGGTTTAGGTTGACACGACAAATATTTAAGTACGTTGGATGAGATTAAGGAAACTTCCAAAGCTCCACTATCAATAAGAACATCTATTGCAACTCCCTGAATTACTGCTGTGGCAATATCATTGTTAAAATCAACATTAAATGACTTACAAAGGTTAACTTTCCGGAAGTCTGAACGACTTTTCGTGAAACACTCTTTCTCGGTATGCCCTAGTTTTTTACAGAATGTACAGCACAGCTTAGAGACATTTTTAGATGACCTATCTTTCTGGGGACAAAAAAAAGATTTATGCCCGCGTTGATTACAAATAAAGCACGTGTAGCTGGTTATATCGGTCTTTGAACGTTTGCTATTTGGTAATTTTTTTTGTTTAAATACCTTATTGGCTATAGGGGGCTTGTTATACACGGAGAGAAATGATACTAGATCTGTAGTCGAGAGATTCGCGTTTGCGGCTGCAACACGTACTTGAGGCTCAGTAATTCCTCGTATAATTATCTGAACTATAAGCTCTTCACTTAGACCTTTTATTATACGCAACCGTAAAAGCGTTCTTCTCGCATATTCTGCATATGTAGAATATTTATCCGAATTAGTTTGCATCGCTTCATAAAGAATATTTGCATAATCTAGTCGTCTCGGGCAAAGAGACAAAAACTCTTTCTTAAAGTATGTCCACGACCTATCATTCGTTGACCATTCGTTCAACCATGTTTTTGCGTCACCTTTCAGAAAACCAGCCACTCGTATCATCGCTCTATCATCTCTATCATCACTCGTACATAAACACTCCATATCATCCCAACGATTGATCACTCTCGCTCGATCTACTTCTTCAAACCACGCATTAATATCATGTAAAACTGGATCAAAATTCGACACGTAATAATTTCGTGGTGTAATAATATTACTAAGAACATCTACAATATTTTGATTACAATCTGGATTCGATACTTCTACCGGCGATGTAGAAACGTTACCAGATACATTCAAATGGGGGGTAGTTGTCGATTTACTTTCGAGGGTATTTAAGCGTGAAAGAATCGAATTTAAAGTTTTATTAAAGATGCTATCACGGCTAGTAGTCGGTGATTTAGACGGGGTATAAGTTCTACGTCTGGTACGTCGTTTTCGAAGATTAGAACGCGAGCGTGATCGCGGATGCGACCGCGACCGTGATCGTACAGGGTTTCTTGAACGAGGACGAGATTGACGCAACATAGTTACACAAAACCAGTAATTAAAATTTTAAGCTGGCTCTCTCTTCAGAATAACTCAAGCAAAGTGGGAATTTACGTGGATTGTATCCCACTTCTGATTTTAGGAACCAGAAGTGGAATAGGTTTTAAAATTTATAAAAGTAATAAATTAAATGAAGGTAATTAAAAACTACAGTTTTACAGTTTAATGATTATTTTATTTGGAATTAATTCTTTAACTTAAAACAACATTAACGATCTAAAATTATAACTTTTAAAGAGAGCCAGCTTAGAAAAATAACAAACACAATACTAGTATCAATAAATCACAAAAATTAACAGAAATAATAACTATCAAGAAACAATCTCACCGGTTCAGAAGTCTCGAGCAAAATGCCTAACTTACTTGATACAAAGGTTTATATACTTGACTTGATGAGGGTGTTTTGAAAAAAAAAATATATCGCGTTCCGTTTTTCCTAACAATATATATTGTTTTTTTTTTTGGTTTGGGTTAGGTTTGCCGAAAAATATTCCAAAGAGTTATTAGATATTATTACTCCATGTATATCAATTTACACAACGACGATCGATTATATATATATTGTTTTTTTTTGGTTTGGGTTAGGTTTGGCGAAAAATATTCCAATGAGTTATTAGATATTATTACTTCATGTATATCAATTTACACAACGACGATCGATTATATATATATTGTTTTTTTTTTCTGGTTTAGGTTAGGTTTGGCGAAAAATATTCCAATGAGTTATTAGATATTATTACTTCATGTATATCAATTTTCACAACAACGATCGATGATATATATATTGTTTTTTTTTTTTTGGTTTGGGTTAGGTTTGGAGAAAAATATTCCAATGAATTATTAGATATTATTACTTCATGTATATCAATTTACACAACGACGATCGATTATATATATAGTGTTTTTTTTTGGTTTGGGTTAGGTTTGGCGAAAAATATTCCAATGAATTATTAGATATTATTACTTCATGTATATAAATTTACACAACGACGATCGATTATATATATATTGTTTTTTTTTTGGTTTGGAATAGGTTTGGCGAAAAATATTCCAATGAGTTACAAGATATTATTACTTCATGTATATTAATTTACACAACGACGATCGATTATATATATATAGTTTTTTTTTTGGATTGGGTTAGGTTTGGCGAAAAATATTCCAATGAGTTATTAGATATTATTACTTCATGTATATCAATTTACACAACGACGATCGATTATATATATATTGTTTTTTTTTTTGGTTTGGGTTAGGTTTGGCGAAAAATATTCCAATGAGTTATTAGATATTATTACTTCATGTATATCAATTTACACAACGACGATCGATTATATATATATTGTTTTTTTTTGGATTGGGTTAGGTTTGGCGAAAAATATTCCAATGAGTTATTAGATATTATTACTTCATGTATATCAATTTACACAACGACGATCGATTATATATATATATTGTTTTTTTTTTGGTTTGAGTTAGGTTTGGCGAAAAATATTCCAATGAGTTATTAGATATTATTACTTCATGTATATCAATTTACACAACGACGATCGATTATATATATATTGTTTTTTTTTTTTGGATTGGGTTAGGTTTGGCGAAAAATATTCCAATGAGTTATTAGATATTATTACTTCATGTATATCAATTAACACAACGACGATCGATTATATATATATATTGTTTTTTTTTTGGTTTGGGTTAGGTTTGCCAAACTCACCCCTGCACATCGAATTGCAAAATTACTTTTTGCCCGAGATCACGTGAATTGGAATTTGGAGGAGTGGAAGAAGGTTCTTATTACTGACGAAAGCAGAATGTTTTTGCATGGTTCCGACGGCCGTAATTTTGTTTACCGGAGATCAGGTAATTACCATTCTAGAGGAATCAATAATTTTTTAAGCTATTGCATAACTTCTATCGCGGGCCTTGAGCGTGGGGACCGAATCCAGAAATTCCGTAACGAAAAAAACCTAACACCCCCCACTCAGATTTGACATCTGACATCTGACGTTTCTGACGATCTGACAAAAAAAAAACAAACAAAAAACAAAAAAAAAACAATATATATAATCGATCGTCGTTGTGTAAATTGATATACATGAAGTAGTAATATCTAATAACACATTGGAATATTTTTCGCCAAACCTAACCCAAACCTAACCAAAATTAACGCAACTGGCCCCAAACTCACTCCTGCACATTGAATTGCAAGATTACTTTTTGCCCGAGAACACGTGAATTGGAATTTGGAGCAGTGGAAGAAGGTTCTTATTACTGACGAAAGCAGAATGTTTTTGCATGGTTCCGACGGCCGTAATTTTGTTTACCGGCGATCAGGTAATTACCATTCTAGAGGAATCAATAATTTTTTAAGCTATTGCATAACTTCTATCGCGGGCCTTGAGCGTGGGGACCGAATCCAGAAATTCCGTAACGAAAAAAACCTAACACCCCCCACTCAGATTTGACATCTGACATCTGACGTTTCTGACGATCTGACAAAAAAAAACAAACAAACAATAAAAAAAAAACAATATATATAATCGATCGTCGTTGTGTAAATTGATATACATGAAGTAATAATATCTAATAACTCATTGGAATATTTTTCGCCAAACCTAACCAAAACTAACGCAACTGGCCCCAAACTCACCCCTGCACATTGAATTGCAAGATTACTTTTTGCCCGAGATCACGTGAATTGGAATTTGGAGCAGTGGAAGAAGGTTCTTATTACTGACGAAAGCAGAATGTTTTTGCATGGTTCCGACGGCCGTAATTTTGTTTACCGGCGATCAGGTAATTACCATTCTAGAGGAATCAATAATTTTTTAAGCTATTGCATAGCTTCTATCGCGGGCCTTGAGCGTGGGGACCGAATCCAGAAATTCCGTAACGAAAAAAACCTAACACCCCCCACTCAGATTTGACATCTGACAACTGACGTTTCTGACGATCTGACAAAAAAAAACAAACAAAAAACAAAAAAAAAAACAATATATATAATCGATCGTCGTTGTGTAAATTGATATATATGAAGTAATAATATCTAATAACTCATTGGAATATTTTTCGCCAAACCTAACCAAAACTAACGCAACTGGCCCCAAACTCACCCCTGCACATTGAATTGCAAGATTACTTTTTGCCCGAGATCACGTGAATTGGAATTTGGAGCAGTGGAAGAAGGTTCTTATTACTGACGAAAGCAGAATGTTTTTGCATGGTTCCGACGGCCGTAATTTTGTTTACCGGCGATCAGGTAATTACCATTCTAGAGGAATCAATAATTTTTTAAGCTATTGCATAGCTTCTATCGCGGGCCTTGAGCGTGGGGACCGAATCCAGAAATTCCGTAAAGAAAAAAACCTAACACCCCCCACTCAGATTTGACATCTGACAACTGACGTTTCTGACGATCTGACAAAAAAAAACAAACAAAAAATAAAAAAAAAACAATATATATAATCGATCGTCGTTGTGTAAATTGATATACATGAAGTAATAATATCTAATAACTCTTTGGAATATTTTTCGCCAAGCCTAACCTAAACCTAACCAAAACTAACGCAACTGGCCCCAAACTCACCCCTGCACATCGAATTGCAAGATTACTTTTTGCCCGAGATCACGTGAATTGGAATTGGAGCAGTGGAAGAAGGTTCTTATTACTGACGAAAGCAGAATGTTTTTGCATGGTTCCGACGGCCGTAATTTTGTTTACCGGCGATCAGGTAATTACCATTCTAGAGGAATCAATAATTTTTTAAGCTATTGCATAGCTTCTATCGCGGGCCTTGAGCGTGGGGACCGAATCCAGAAATTCCGTAACGAAAAAAACCTAACACCCCCCACTCAGATTTGACATCTGACAACTGACGTTTCTGACGATCTGACAAAAAAAAACAAAAAAAAAAAAAAAAAAAACAATATATATAATCGATCGTCGTTGTGTAAATTGATATATATGAAGTAATAATATCTAATAACTCATTGGAATATTATTCGCCAAACCTAACCAAAACTAACGCAACTGGCCCCAAACTCACCCCTGCACATTGAATTGCAAGATTACTTTTTGCCCGAGATCACGTGAATTGGAATTTGGAGCAGTGGAAGAAGGTTCTTATTACTGATGAAAGCAGAATGTTTTTGCATGGTTCCGACGGCCGTAATTTTGTTTACCGGCGATCAGGTAATTACCATTCTAGAGGAATCAATAATTTTTTAAGCTATTGCATAGCTTCTATCGCGGGCCTTGAGCGTGGGGACCGAATCCAGAAATTCCGTTACGAAAAAAACCTAACACCCCCCACTCAGATTTGACATCTGACAACTGACGTTTCTGACGATCTGACAAAAAAAAAACAAACAAAAAACAAAAAAAAACAATATATATAATCGATCGTCGTTGTGTAAATTGATATACATGAAGTAATAATATCTGATAACTCATTGGAATATTTTTCGCCAAACCTAACCAAAACTAACGCAACTGGCCCCAAACTCACCCCTGCACATCGAATTGCAAGATTACTTATTGCCCGAGATCACGTGAATTAAAATTTGGAGCAGTGGAAGAAGGTTCTTATTACTGACGAAAGCAGAATGTTTTTGCATGGTTCCGACGGCCGTAATTTTGTTTACCGGCGATCAGGTAATTACCATTCTAGAGGAATCAATAATTTTTTAAGCTATTGCATAGCTTCTATCGCGGGCCTTGAGCGTGGGGACCGAATCCAGAAATTCCGTAACGAAAAAAACCTAACACCCCCCACTCAGATTTGACATCTGACATCTGACGTTTCTGACGATCTGACAAAAAAAACAAACAAAAAACAAAAAAAAAACAATATATATAATCGATCGTCGTTGTGTAAATTGATATACATGAAGTAATAATATCTAATAACTCATTGGAATATTTTTCGCCAAACCTAACCCAAACCTAACCAAAACTAACGCAACTGGCCCCA